TTAATGATGGTAACACATGTTTTTATAGTTATTTGAGGTAATTTCAGTATTGTTTAATATGTCATTACAAAGGCGATTATAATGTTTCTATTTTTTTTTTTTTTTTGTACACTAGCAAAACTTTAATGGTGAGTTAAAATCAAAACGTTTATTATACTTGGCACTCACTAACAGAACGTGCTTTAAAGTAGCTTGGAAAGTTTACTAAATGAAAATACTTAAGACCTAAATAAACTAAATCGATTTAAAAAATATATTTTAAAACCGACTTAATAAAATTACGCATTTGTTTTTTTTTATATTTCTATTTAAGTTTAAATAAAAGCTATAATGTATAAGTCAAAACTATAACTTATACAATTCATATGTAATATATTTAATCACTGTATGATATTTTTACAAAAAAACATTTAATGTTTATTAACTGAATAAATTTCTTGTTTATTATTAGCCTTTGTATACTTAATGTTATAGTATATTACATTAATATAATGTCATGGAATCCAGTCAATTGTGACGAAACCAACCAATGACAATCACTTGTTTTATTTTTTTTTTACTGTCAATCAAAAAATATTATTATACATCAATAATAAACGGTAGGTACGAGTAGCTCAAGGTACAAATTTGAATCAATGTGGAAATATTTCTGAGAATTGTTGAGATGTTAATTATCATTTATTATGGAACACGTGTCCATGTTCGTATAAATAAATATGCATAAATATAATACATACTAGTGTTTGTTTAATTTTTTATTGTATATTCCAATGATTGTGCGAAAAAATCAATGTTGTAGTGATAGCAAGAATTTTGCTTTTATTTACAATATTTTTTCACTAAATCAATTTTTTTATAAATACACATATACCTGTAATAAAATCAGTAATAATGACAAATATATTAAATATGCATTACATAATATGTACATTGCACCCTACAAAACAAAATTCAGCATACCGCGGTCGTGTGCTTAATTTCCCATATAAAAATTCAGTTATTACAATGTGCACCATAACACGAACAGAAAATATTGATATTTAAACCCTATTGTACTAGGTAAAGTAACTATAAAATATATCATATATTATATAAAACATATATATTGTGAGTGCCGTGATGTATTGCGGTACAGAATTTAATTATACTATAGCAATAGTGGCGATGGCCGAATGGTGGGATAGGATGAGAGATGGCTATACTAAGCGATACACATAAAATATATATACACACATCTACGTGAATTACGTATTATAATATATTATACATTTCATATTATAATATATATATTATACTACTTCATCATCATAAAAAGAGGAAAGAAGGCTATATATTGCAGACAAACCCCGAAATCGTATAATATACGCTTACACATATTATATTGAACGGGTCTTTCCTGTCCGAAACAACAACTACCGAACTTACAAACGACGTAAATAAATGTATTAAAATAAAATATATTACATACTTCGTAATATTTACACAGTCATCGCGCACGGTAAAAAAAAAAACGTGTGTTTTGTTGAATTATGGAACACGATTACCGTTTTTTAATGAAAATGGCAGGGTGGGGTTCAGTGGCGACAGACGCGTAGAGGTGGGTCCATTTTTTGGTGACGTTTATCGAAAACCTTTATTAGGTAACCTATATATTCACGTTCGCGGTCTACGACGTGCGTACCGGTCGTTTAGTAAAAATAGAACTCTGCTATTTACGACGAAACTCGTGGCAATGGCGGGCTATTAAAAAAAATAATAATAATAAAAACACTAAACGGCGCTCTCGCTCATATATATACATATTTATATGATTGTATTCAAGAACGATGACTATGGTCGCGGAGGCCGCGAGAGAGGAAAATACCGTTGAAGTGCGGTGATGTATAAAAACCATCGCCACCGCGAGTGCATTGATCTCGATATTATTTCAGTATCCAGATATATAATGGCCTGAATTATAAAATATTATATTATCAAACATAAAAAATTAGAGCTGTCGAATATGAATCTATTTTTGCATCTTCTCGCATTTTACCCTGAAAGATTTAGTCATTGATATTAGTTTAAACACACAATTCACTTACAATTATTATTGATTTTACTCAATTTTGGTAGTTTGAAATATGTGCAATATCATATTAATATAATATCAAAAACACCTTTACACCCCGCGACTCTGAATATTTACGTCCCGTGAAACCAAAAGGACGAGGACCCACCTTCATCCTTTAAATGTGCCCGAGGAAGGGTTACTCATCCGGGGATTAACCAGAGTTAACGTCATGTTCGTCGAAATAAAATAATACTTGACCCCTAGAGGAGGGGGTGTTTGTGATAGTACAGTGCACACAGCGACGGTAACGTATCCGTTTAACGCACAGCAGCGAATGAATTGGGCGGGTGTAATAAATCTGCAGCGGGTTAAAAGTTGCGAATTGATTAACGGCCCAACGGACAACCAAGGCACACGGATGTACATTGTGTACACGAATATATATATTCGTTTATAATATGTATATTGTTAGTCGTTTGTTGGAACACACAAAACCACTACTTCGACAACCGCCCTCTCTCATACAACGTTGTTCCAATGAGAAATACAACGCGACATAAATTTTGTGCAGTGCATTGCATACAACACTGTACTAGTTATATAGATATATACAACATAGGCTACATTTACGGCCTTTTTAAAAAACGAATATTATAATTTTATTATAATTTTTGTGTTCCACAATAATAATAAATAAATAAAAAAAAAAAACATAAGAATTATTAATTATATACCTAAGCCTGTGATATAAAGATAAATTATTGTTATTATAATGTCTATGTGTATGTGCTATAAGCAACTGCTTGAAAATAAGTTTAAATTGAATATTGCAATAGATAATAATAACCTATATGCAGTGCACATATCTACTGTTGCACACAAATACGCGATAACCATACAAGGTACACTTTACTGCACGTTGTGACATAATAATTTTATTTCTATTAGTATAACTCTGTTTTAACAGATTAATTGACCTTTTTTTTACTTTTATAAAGCCATTTTATACGTTTGTTTTTGACATTTAATATGTTATTCAACAATTGGAGATGAAGTTTGTTAACTTTACTAACAAAAAAACCGTATAGTTGACTTTATAGTATCTACACGTTTATAGGGTTAATTCTATTTCAATATCCATCATAAAAATATTAAATATTTTAAATATTTACAATAAACATGAAGTATACAACACTTGAAATTTAGAAATGTAGAACACTCGGCTAACATAATATATGTATAGCGTTTCCATAGACCTTATGCGTTATATTATTTTATATATATATATATATTTTACTTATATTTTCGTATAGTACATGAGTTTGTGCATGTGTATCTAATTCAGACTATTATAAAACTGTATCAATTTCGATTAACGCTGGGTTTTTATTTATTTATTACATATTATAAACCATTTCTTTGCGGCTTTTTTTTGCAAATTGTTTATCTGAAGACCCTTTAGCTAGGCCAAGATGAACATTAATTTATCGCTCCATTGAGCCATAACACCAAGAAAAAACTACCTTTATTCATAGTAAAATAGAGGATCCGTTGATCAAACAGTGAAAATAATATGCAAGAGATTTCATTTTTGTATGAGAAAATTATGTGTAAACTAGACTGATAAATAATTAATAGCGTCATATGCACTTGATAAAAAGGGAGTGGTATTTTGTAAACATGGCTTATATTTATCGGTAACATTTTTTTTTTTTTTTAATGACTATAGCTAGTCTTTAATGTAAACGAGTATATATGTATTACCTATATGTATATGGAAGTAAAGGCTCAATTTCAAGTGGTCTTTCTTTTGTCCCGTATGAAATAAAAACCTATATAGCTTTACTCATATAGTGACCTTTTACGATATACATTAAATATGTACAGAAAAAAATTGCTTTTGCCAAAAGGCTGAATGCGTACATGTATTAAATGTTTTTGAATAATGCATAAGTTTAAAACGACTATATATTTATTTAAAACATATAGTGTTCGTAACGACAAGTACAACATTCGATGACTTTACACTAAATCATAGAATACCGATAAATATATTACAATATTTTAAATATTTTATAGATATTAAAATATATAATACTCGTAATAATAGATACATATTGGAATATAATTATTATATATATATATATATATTTTTTTTTAACACGATTGTTTGCCAGTAATACCAATTAATTTGACTTGATATATATATTATGTAAGAAACAAAAAATCCATTAGAGTAAATTATTGTCCGTAATAAAATTTTATAACCATGCAAGAAATACCATATGGGAAGACTATATATATTAACCAATCTAGAGACTTCAAATGTATTTACATAAAAATTAAATCAAATAAAAACATATCAGCCTTTTGTGTTATTTTTAATTCTAAACACACTAAAAACTATACATTTAAACACGTTAAGTAACAAAATAATAATAAAACAATGAAGATATATATGTATATAAATAGTCTAAGCAGAAGAGAGAAAAAATATATTTAATATATACATTAATATAAATGTGTTAATGCAAGAGAAAATTAGCGTCCATCAATCGATAAATGTCAGTATTAATTAATAATTATGATTATAATACGTATAGTATATTGAAAGCCATGTGCACATTTCAGCTGTTTGAACGCTGCATTTGTGGATTAGTGAATTTTTTTTTAATGATTCTAGAATATTGATGTACTGCACAAATCTATATATATATATATATAATATTATGTATCAACTTTGATTAAGCCGTTTTTGTCAAGTTATTTTAAGAAGTATACAAAAAACAATATAATAAATCAAATAAAACAATTAAAATAAAATATTTTAAACGGACACTATCATAATATCAACCGCAAACTTCTACTCATACGTCTACACATCTACGAAGTTATTATTTTTTTTTTTTTACAACAATAGACTCCTCAGACTACCCATATGACTTACTTAAGGCTGAAAAATAGAGGGTCTGTCATGAACAGGTATGAACACGGCCGAACGGACGCGAATGTCGGGTATGTTCATGTAAGTAGGAGGAATAGTATTCCCGTCCTCCTTCGGGCCTCTGGGGTCGGTAAATTCTATCCAACCACATCAACGACACGAAAACGTTAAATCCGGCATTATAATAATTTGTGTTCAACTTTGAACATGGTTCGGACAAGGACGCTCATAAGTATAGCCTAACAGAATCACGATACATATGAGAATACATGTGTGTGTATATTTATATATATGCATATGAAATTTTTATTGATTGTTAATTAATTTTGAATTAAACTAAAATAATTTTTAAACCACTATATGCGTATATGCTTTATTTTCTTACCTCGTTGACACTCGTAAAGGAGCCTGGGAATACAGTTTGGAAGTAGCGATAGCCAGTTTTAAACCTTTTCAGTAACCCTCGTAGAAGTGATCCCTTAGAATCTGCGGACACACATGAAAAAATAAATTAATTAAAGGACAAGTATATTGTATATATATATATATATATGTATTATATGATGGGCATGTGGTGTGCTAGGTATATTACGGTTTGTGACGAAAACTGGATGCTGTGAGAAAAAAGCTCAAAACTCGAGACACATAATATATATTATAATCACCAGCAGGTTGAGCAAACAAAACCATTTATCTCGTGCGAATGACCACCCTGAAAGGGATTATTATTCATTGTTTTTATAAAGAGACTTTTTGTCGAGTTTTTACAATAATGTCCAATCCTCGTGTTTATTGTATGGTCATTTGTTCGACCACGAGGTTATATCATCCAGTAACCGACTAATCGAGTCTATTACGATAGAAAGAGGTGATTCTTGTGAAATACGTATATTATAAAATTAATGTGCGTGTAATTATTTATTATGTCCATTAATAAATCAAAACGATTGAATAAAATAATAGATAATTAATATGTATAATAGGTACCCATAATATAGGTTAAATGGTCTAGACATTTTTTGTTTGTTTAAAGAAATCATTCAAGCATTTTTTGATAAATTAAGTATTCATCATTAATATTATTATTATTATTATTATTTATTTTTTAAACTTAAGTTATGAAAAAATGGACTTTGTAATTTTCAATTTTTTGATAAAAATTATACATACGTATAGTTACGAAATACGTATTAATATATTGTCTGTGTGATAGAATAGTTTTGATTGGTAATGACGTCAATAATCTCGTTAATAGTATATTACACTGCATAAAATATAAAAACGTAAAACACTTTTAGGACAGCGTGCACTATTATACAGTTTCGAGTGGAATTTGTTTACAACCTTCTATAATCTGCAAACTAATTCCATTTCGGTTCAAGTACATTAATAACATTAATGATGTTTTTCCAGTCTAGTTGACTTACAGAACATTAACGTGTATCAACGTTATATCTTAATATTATATTCCATTACTTTAAGTTGACTAAAAACTTTGTTTACAAAAAATATAATAATATTATTTTTTATAAATGATAAAATTGTTATACAACTTCATAATATATTCATATTATAACTCACTCAATCATGCCGAGTTGATTACGAAAGACCAAAATGTATGATATTAAAACTCCTAACCTAATTACATAAAAAGTTTAAGAATTTGAAACTATATAGGTACGAGAGTTAATATTTTTTTTTTAAATAGTACGTTTTTAGATACATACGAGTCTCTTAATTATTACGATTGCATTAGATTTCAGTACCTGATATGTTCTGATTTATTTCATATTGTCTATATTATTAATACATACTAATTATACGATACCTTAATACCTGTTAAGTACATCGTACAATAATGTACAATTAAACAATTGTTATGATATAAATGTTGAACCACATAACACAATAAAACAAAACTCTAGGGAATTTGACTGAGATATCAACATCGACGATTAAATGCAATACTAATTGATTTATATTTAGTGGGAAATTTACTATCGTAATATATAATACATAATACCTATCCAGCTGAAATTATAAGCCATTCAAAAGTAAATTATACACATCTTAAGGTTTAATATAATTGTTTAAATATAATTTTTATAATGTGATGTTAGTAATGTATTCAACAGGAAAAAGCAACACATGCGCAGGAGATAAAATAATACTTTTGAGTACAATTTAAGACGATAGTTTTTTCTTATATATGCATGCAGTAGCTTGATAAAAGACACAATTTATTTTTAAAGAAATAATATTACTTATAATTTGGATGTGTAAGCAGCAAATTGCCAACTTTTTGGGTTAAAATATTAATTACGGAAAATGTATAAATAATTAATTAAATAAAATCGATTCAGTAATTCGATTACATTCGATTTTGTTTAATAAACTACCTAACTTTCTGGTGTTGTAAAATATTTGCCGAATGGGTTTATACGTGATATTATACATAATATATTTTAATGTACTAAAAAGTTTGCTTCGTGCGAAAAGCAACGTTGACATCAGGTTGTTATCATGTAAGTCAATTGAAAAACTTTTTCGGAAAGGATCCTTCGCCGTAGTCACCGCGACTTAATACTGACTGCCGCTATGGCGTCTAATTAAAACACGCTGCCGAAACGGTGACATGTGATTGGCGTCGGCACACGGTTGTCTGGCAAAAGCAACAAACGCCAAGTGTGAATAGGTTACCTACTGCACAGTGCACATACGGGGCCACCAGACATATGTTTACTTTTGGACTAAAGTTTTTTTTTAAATTTTTATTCTTTTTACTATTTCTTCAGAAATTTATTTTTATTCACCGGCCACGGTAATGCGACTGCGGCGGCGTTCGTTAGCCATCCAAATAGCCGTTACACGCACTATACGCGCGGCTATAAATAATGGGGACCATCACGACGTCACTCTGCGCTACACGTCCCCGCAAATCCATCCATCACATCGCGCTAACTCTCTGTTCTAGTCGACTTTTCCGTAAATTATTATAATATATTTTACATATTATATTTTATAATTTATCATATAAATACATGTATCAAGTGGTGTATAATTTATATCTACTAGCTAGCTGCACAGGAGTGTATGATTTTTGTTATGTCGATTACATGTATGTAGGTACTGGCACGATACACATTATGCACACACACACACACACACACACACACACACATATTAAATATAATGCATGCCTCTTTGTTTCATTAAAATATATTACGCACATACGTCGTGTTTTTGGCTCCCAACTACGCGGTGGTGATAAATAATACAACGTGTACACGAAATATCGGCCAACGAATGCGAATTGAAAGCGTATAAAGTTAATGTTATAATGATATATTATAATGTTTGGGTATACCTATTACAACTATATGGCGGCGACTCGTATTAGTAATCTTTGCAAGACAAAAATCTGCTGGTGATTTATAAGCCTCACACGACGACGGCGTTTTTATTGGCAAACGGGCGTTGCTGCTGCAGGCGCACGACGTTGTAAAGGTACACGGTACACCCATGGTTATATATCCTCCTCGCCACCCGTATCTCGATATCGCGCATTTTCTGCAGCCGTGGTGACAAACGAGCCGAAATGAAGCTTTAACGCCAATGGAGCAAAATCGTTGAGACATTTTCGTAAGTTTTTGACGTTTTCTAGGCCATTAATCGTGGCAGTAGAGGGTGAGCAAGAGATTGATCGGAAGTGTTGTATATTCGAAACGCGGATGCGACCACCTCTGTCGTCGACACATGCAGCGTCTGTTTCTTTATATACATATATGTGAACGCAAGTACGAAGCGCTCTAATGTAATTTGGACACGTCACTGTCACACCTTCACGGCGGAGCAGCCGGTTAATTTTTCAACCAACTCTCTCGGCTACGAGAACTGCTGCTGTACAGGTGTGCGGTTTGTTCTATTTCAGGATACGACTCGTCCTACTGCGTGGGCCAACATGTGCGTTTATAAAATGGCCAAATAAAAAAATTACCCTAAGAAGTGTCGTCTATTTACCCAGACCCAGGGTGTCGTAAATGGTCGGAAAATGAATGGAGATAATACATTGGTTTTAGAATAATAATAATATTAAATGAGAGTGGTTTTAAAATGCACAATAAAAAATAAACATATGTATATAGGCACTACACTAGGAGGTAGGTAAATAGCATTTTTTGATTAAAGCTGTGTATTTTATGTGCGTGACTTACAAACATGTTATTAATTTGTTTGAGATAACGCTATTTTAACCGTCGCGTTTTACTAAGTTTATTCAAAAAAATGTTCAGTACATAATTCATTTTGTGATTGCAAGGTTGAAAAATCTCAGGAGAAAAACATCACATTTTTAAGTACCTTATACTCTTAATGTAGAATACTATATAAGACAAAATAAATCGTTTAGCTTTTTTATCACGCTGCAAGAAATGGCATAATTAATATTTTAATGGTACCCAATCAATACTAAACGTAATAGGTTTATTACGTTTACGTAATTAGATACATCAGAAGTTTAGTACATTATTAAATCGTCTATATAATAATAATGGGCTATAGAGGGCAATAGCCAAATAAAATTGCGTAAATAGCTGCTGTTGAACAACGTTCGAATAATATCTCAACCTAAAAGTGCACTGTGTACCTTGCAGTATTATATTTAAGTATATAAATAATCGTAGACAACCGTCTAATAACCTTAAAATTAAAAAAAATCCTATAGGAATATAATAAAAAAATAACAAGCGACATAGTTTCACCATCTATTAATTGTCATAATTACTTAGACGTTCGTTTTAATACAATTATTATGTCAAGTAATAATATAATACGCATCATAGAAGCGATCACATACTAAAAATCAGTAAAAATGTAACCATTTTAATAATACAATATTCACCATACATAATATTAGCTTTAACCTATGCTTAAATGTTTATATATTATGCAAGTACGCATTTCTACCGCAGTTATGTGGTATTATACATATAAACGTGATTTAATCTTTGTGGTGAATTTGAATAGGCATACATAATATCTTAACATGATACACTCTTAAACAACAATATATAATGATTCACCAAACTAACTTCACCCACCTCCTTTATAATTTATAACAATATATTTATTCAAATTCTGGTCTTTGTAATTTTTAAATACTAAGATTTGTATAGATACCATATTTATCATAATGAATTATTAAGTATTATTTTTACAGATTTACCTAAAATGGTTGAACAGATACCTGTTAAAAATAGAATTATTCAAATTGAAAAAAGTAGTGAAATAATTGCTATTTGCAATAAAAAATATAGTATCTTTTTTTCTATACGTTATTAGAGCTATAAATCAGTACGTTGTTTGTATTGGTCCAAGAAAAAAATCGTGCGCAACTATATATTAACATTACTACAAGTACTATTTTCAACTACTCAAACTACTGTAAAATTACAACTAATCAGCCACCGGATTTTGATTTTTTACTT